CTAGAAATGTATTACACACCATTAAGCCTAGAGTCAGCAATAATGAATTCTATGCTTAGATTTGTTAAGTGGTGGGTTGGGGGTGCAGAGGGTGTGCTTAGCACACGACACCCCTGGGGTCAATCTCCTTACAAAAAAATCATAGTAAGTGTTCTAATCACAATAAGATAAAAATTTAAAAAGGAAACTCCAGATTTGAGGATCCGATGAGTTTTCATTTTGAAAGATCTGAGAAACTATGGCTAATTTCCTGGTTCATTTCCAACTCAAGCAATTATACCCCCCGCACCCACCATTTCCCTGCGGTTTTAATTAGGAAGTGTGGTTGGCCTCTCCCCGTGTGGCTGCTGAGTTGTGTTTAACGCAAGTATATCCTAGTCGTCCTACGGCCAAAAGAGCTGGCATTTAATATGAAAAGTGCAACATTAGTGTTTTCACATAAATACATTATGTGATATAAGTTATTCTTTCTCCTGCTAGAGAGATCATGAGAAACTGAACGTGTAAATAAGAATTGAAATGGATAACAGGTATTGTGAAGTAGGGAGAAATTGTTCAAAAGGAAAGAGTAACTAGGGAAGGGGAGGAGGAAATGAAGGAAGGGAAAAGAAATAAAATGAGAAAAGAAGGGTAGAATGGAAACCCACTTTCTAAAAAAGGAGGGAAAAAGACACTGAAGTGGGGAGGGAATGGAGAAAAAAAGAAGCATCAAGATATACCATGGACAGGTACAAATTCCCTGTGATCAATGTGATTAATATATATATCTAAATTGTACCAATAAACTCAGTGGAAAAATAAGTTATTATTTTTAGTAAAATTTACTGATCCTCACTTTAGCTTTTCTTCAAATAATTTCTAAAAACTGAATTAGATCTGATGTCCATGTACAGAATTTCTAGCCAGTACTGTGTCTTGATAAGTCATTTAATAGTTCTAACTTTATTACCTTTCATTTATCAACTGTCATGTCTTTGAACTTAAAGTAAAATTTATTCTATATCATCATCTAGTTTTGTGACTTCAGATACTAGGCCAAAAGCTTGAGAGAGCTTCCTGTCAGGAAAGAACAATTTTCTGTGCAGGGCAATGAGTTGGACAGGACGATCCACCAAGTCCCAGCCAGCTCCGGGTTGCAGAGTTTGCAGGTTTCTCCCGTGGGTCTGCCCCCTGGTGTTCAGGAGGTATGCAGGATGGGCACAGCTGCGAAGTGTCCCCTGGCCTCAGCTTCTCACAGAGGCCTCTTGTGCACCGTGCCACACTGAGAGAGTGGCCGAGCCCTGCCAGGCGGCCAGCGTTTCTGGTCAGGGCACTCCTCGTCTCCTTGCCGCTGGTCTCTTCCCTGCGTCTCACGGACTGCTTGATCTACTGAAGCTTTTTTTTTTTTTTTTTTAACTACTTAGATCTTTTGGCATGTACAACATTTACAGTTTTTGCTTATCATGGATATTAGTAATTTCCTTATTATACATATTATCAATTTTCAAGGAAATTGCTGAAATTTAGAGGGAGACTTTTAAAATAAAAAAGTAATTTAAAAAAGAACTCTTTTTTGTTATTAAGTATCAGTTTGAGCCGGGTGTGGTGGCGCACGCCTGTAATCCCAGCACTTGGGAGGCTGGGGCAGGAGGGTTGCGAGTTCGAGGCCAGCCTGGGCTACAAAGTGAGCTCAAGGCCCGCCTGAACTGCATAGCGAGACCCTGTCTCAAAAAAAGACAAAAAAAAAAAAGTATCAGTTTGAATAAACATTGATACTTAGTTGGTATTATCTTTTCTTCTTAGTCTCTCTCTCTCTTTCTCTTTTTTTGTGTGTTCTGTCCAGGGTTGGTTTTCTTTAGGCCTCAGTAACTGAGGACATATATTTTTTTTTATTTTTAATTTTAAAGAGAATGAAAAAAATAATAAGAAACTTTAGAAATGATACAGAGTTTCACAAAACAAGATGGTAGGAATTCAGCAGTGATTGTTCTATTGCGTATTGTTGTCTTCAAATTAGTTGTTTAGATTACCAGATATAAGCATGCAAAATTGGTCAGAAAAATTAAGCAGTAATTGTTCCTATCAATAAACCAGTAGAAATCAGCAGTACAATTGTCTTAGCTATCCTGTGTATACATATATGTATATTTTTCCCTTCCTGCTTTCTTTTTTATTCCTCTTTTCCCTCATCCCAGTTGTTCTTTCCTTTTGAGCAGTTTCTTTCTCTTTTACAATATCTACTGTAATACTTATCTGGCAGGGGAGAAACCATGACCACAATATCTATTGTGCCTTTTGGATTTTATTTACTCTTTCAGTTTCTCACACTAGGGAGACAATAGAATGTTTACACATGTGAGTCTGGTTTATTTCACTTATGAGTATGGTCTCTAGTTGCATCCATTTACCTATAAAAGCCTCAAGTTTATCTTTCTTTATAGCTGCGTAGTACTCCACTGTATAAAAATACCACATCTCTTTATCCATCCCACTCATAGTTTCCTGTTTTTTATTGTTTTGTTTTGTTTTTGGTTTTTCTCCAGTACTGGGAACCGAACTCACGACCTTGCACTTGCCAGGCAGGCGCTTTTGCCGCTGAGCTAAATCCCCAGCCCCTCCTGTTTTTTAAATTAGCAAGTTTACTACCTAATCAGAGATCCTCTTTACCTCTCTAGCTCTGGAATTCCACAGTTTTTGTAGTAAGATATTATCTCTGACTCTCAGGCCTGCAGTTTGGACTGCGCACTTGCAAAGCATTGCCTTGTGAGCCCACGTGCTTGGCTGACGTTACCCTTGCACGGACTCACGGGTTCACAAGAGCAGCCCGTTTGAAAGGCCACCTTGCCGTCCATTCGTTGGAAGGTGGCGCCTGGCCCCTTGCCCGGGGTCAGCGCAGTGTACAGTACCCGGCCCTGGTGCACTCGATGTTCCCGCCAGGGGTTCATTTCTGGTTAAGGAGCGATTCCTTTGTCTTACTCAGATTTAAGCCCTTGCACACGTATTAGCATCCAGCCTGTTTTCTGGAAATGGACGATGAGCAAACAAGACACAGTCTTCTAAGAGCATCTCTTTTTAAAGCAGCACAGTGCGAAGGACGAACTGTGGAGCATGTGAGCAGCTTCCTCTTTAGTTCCCCACTCACTTTTCCCGTAGCGACTCCCCATGAATGGACACTTCCTTTCACTGCTATCCTTATTTGTTGCCTGAATTAATTTTCTTCGAGCTTCTCCTGTAGTTATCATTTCTTTGTAGCGGACACCATGACATTAAGAGAAAAGCACACATGACCAAGGGTGCCCTGAGACTGCTTCCTGAATTCAGAGAAGCTTTTGTCCTCCTGCAGTCAGTGAGCTTCGAGCATCTGTTGGTTTTTCCTTAGGTTCCGTCCCTCGAGTGGACCTGTTCTTAAAGGACAGACGCTTGGAACCTGTAGCTGTCGTACATGAAAGCAAAGCATGCTGTTAATAGGAAATGCCAGGGAACCTCCAAACTGCAGGAACAATAGCCATTGGTATGGTCTGAAGCCTGTCATTTTCAGTGAGTAAGCATGTGGACATATAAAAGCCCTTTAATTGGGGAAGCACTTTTTTTACACAGCGAGCACTTTTCATGTGACGGCAGTTAACACAGCGCTAATCAGCTTCACAGTGAATCACTTGGCTTCTTAACCTTCCATTTCCTCATCTGTAGCCCGAAGTAGCTGGTCTAGAATGTGGTACTTGGTCTGCACCGCATCCTCAGCACTATCGATATCTGGTCCAGATAACTCTCCCTCCGGGGGCAGGGACCGTCCTATGCACTGAGTGACGTGTGGCAGGGCCTCTGGCCTCTGGCCCAGATGCAGTAGCTCCCCCTTCACTGTGAAAACTGAGACTGTCTCCTAACAGTGCCAGATACCCCCGGGAGGCAGAGCTGCCCACTGAGGAACATCGGTCTAGAATTATATTACACACATCCAAACTTTAAAATGTTTCGATACTAAGAGCTTGTGAGCATAAGGATTATCAACGTCTTGTGGTAAGTATTTCTCTGCTGAATGACGTGAAGGAAGAAGAGTTTGACTTGGGCCTTTTTGGAAGGCGTTAATGTTGTTTAGAATTTGTTTCCTCGCTGAGTCGTGAAGGCCCTTTTAGTAAAGTGTGGGAGAAGTCAGGAGAGCAAAGCCTTGGGAACAAGCAGCACTCTGTGAGGTGAGAGCCTGTGGCTGAGACGAGCCGCACTGGTGCACAAGCGCCACTGATACGGTCTTTGAGACAGATCCTGGCGCGGTAACGGACATTCTAGCATAGTTGTTGAGTGGGTGGATTACGGATGGATGGATGAGTGAAGGATCTGCTTTCGCTAATACCTTTAGCTTTACATAGTATTCTATCAGTGATGCATAAAAATGATGACAGGCCTGGGCCTGGTGATGCACGCCTGTAATCCCAGTACTCTGGAGGCTGAGGCAGGAGGATTGCTGCAAGTGTGAGGCCAGCCTGGGCTACATGGTGAGATCTTGTCTCAAAAAAAAATTGGGGAACAGTGACAAAATAAAAAAAGCCACGACTACGCACAGCATGGAGTCATATCTGTTCCTCTGTGGGTCCCCCATGTACCCGTCTGCCTGTGCTCTTCACCGCCATTTTATGCTTCTCCCCCCAAGCCTGTGTCCTTTCTTACCTTTCTCCCTCTTTGTAATTGTTGGCTGAATTAGTTTTCTTAGGAGTTTCCATATTGTACCATTTCTTTGCATCAGGCACCATGGCCTTGTGGTAAAACAAAACCCACCACATGTGACTGCGGCCCCTCAGCCATATGTGCTCACAGTGACGCCGCTGATTTGGTGCTGTCAAGTATTTTCTCTATATTACGGCACAAGAGGTTTTGGTATGAAGTCATAAAAATAACTGGCGAGTTATGGCATCATAGCTCTGTTTATTGGAATATCTTCTCTAAAACGGATGAATCGCTGTCAAGATTATTTCTCTGAGTTCACTTTTAACGTATACTGCTGACAACTTTCTTCTTTTCTTTCGCAGACCTTCTCTGACCATGCCCCACAGGAACCTGACGGGAAGCTGCAATGTCAATTGTGGTTGTAGAATACACGAGTACGAGCCAGTGTGTGGGTCGGATGGGATTACATACTTTAACCCTTGTCTGGCTGGCTGCATGAATAGTGGCAATCTTAGCACTGGGGTGCGTATTCTTCCTAAAGTCCTCTTCTGGTGTTAATCCAGTATCTTGTAGCAAGGATGTGAGTGAATTTGTGTGCAACCAAGGTGATTTCTGTCCTCCTTTTCAAGGGATTCCAAATAACCTTCTCAGTACCTCTGACAGATGCCTAGCGGGAAGGCAGTCATGCAGTGCTATCAATTTTTGCCAGGGGTGACAAAAAATGATGCATTTGTGCGTGGAGATCTGGCTTCACTTCGGCCCTCTCCTAGTTTGTATGTCGAGCCAACTCGGTGAAACTCGAGAAGGCTGGGCTCCACCTTTTCCATCTGATCCTCTGGCAGAGCCCTTGTAATGGACTGAAGGTCAAGGTGACCGCAGTTGTGCTGATAGAAGAGCCTAGGAAAACACCTCCCTGGTTGGAGTCCAGGAAGGTGGGCAGTGGTCATTTTTTTGTAAACTAGCAGTTCCATTCAACCTTTATTTGAACCTTTCAGAGTAAAGATATTTCTGTCAATTCAAGAATAGGCTATTTTGAGAACTCTCTTCCCTGTGAATTATAAGTAGGCTGTAATACTATGGGAAGAGGTTTGCATATCCTACTCCATTCTCGGTTGATCCTGGTTTAAGTCTCTGCATAAGAATAGGTTATAGGCGGTTACCTTAATTAAAAGGTTAATATGCATCTGCTGGCTCTGCGCAGGAGTTAGGGTGTGACACCACTGACTGGATGTTTTAGAGATGCCAGTTTTGATTCTGAGATTGAAACTAGAGCGATAAATTAGAGCTGGAGATCTAGCTCAGTGGCACAGTGCCTGCCTGTCAAGCACGAGGTCCTGAGTTCGATTCCCGGTACCAAAGAGGGGGTGCTGGGCCTGTGGCTCAGTGCTAGAGTTCTTGCTTTGCATGCCCAAGGCCCTGGGTTCAATCCCCATCACCACGAAAAAAGAAGAATGATAAATTGAGAATTCCTGTGGCGAGCTCCTGCGTGAGAGGGCATGCTGAGACAGAATGAGAGTTCTCTTGCAAGTGGGCTGGCCCTCTGGGGCACGGTGCTCGTTCTTTGAATCCCAGCAGAGACGGCGAAACAGGGGCCAGCCTCACCCGTGCGCACTGCTTCTCTCAGTGGGCCCCGTGAGAACCAGCTCAGTCGGTTTCCATTCAGTGCTAACCAGGCCACGACGGAGTGGCAGGCTCTGCATCCGCCAGCTCGTTTTGCTGTTGCGTAGGTAACGCCAAGTGAAGTTTCCTTTTTCACGTTTGCATTTGCTTTCGGTGGGAATTTTGGTAGTTCATTAAGAAGATTTGGTCTCCTTTGCTCTTCCATTTCTGCAGTCCCTTCGGACAAAACTTGGCACAGCAGTAGGGAGTCACGGATGTTTTGCTGCAGAAAGGGGAGAGTGATTTGGGGCTCAGCAATGTTTCCAGACAGCCGAACTGTGTAGGGCGCAAGAGCAGCACAGGGCAAGAGCCGCCGTCACCACCCCTGAATTACATCCCCAGGGCGGGTGGCGATGCATCTGCAGGGCGGAGGCCTCCGGGCCATTAAACAGGCACTAATGCTGGGGCGGTCATCACACTCGTGTTCTGGGCCTTGGGTGTGTCCAGGGTGCTGCCGGTTCATCTGGAGAGTAGGACTGAGCCAGGTACTTAGCGGGCTATGCAGAGAAGTGTGGTGAACCAGACGAAACTGAGTGGAGCCTGTTTCTGAGGACTGAACCGGAGAACCCAAGAGTTCCGTGGTAATCAAAGCACCATATACATTTATCACCCAAAATGAGCAGCCGTAGGTGGATGTCATAGAAATATGGAGCGTTCCTCCAGAAAGTCTCAGTTTAATTCATTTTGACCAGGTCCCTTCCGGTCATCAGTGAGGGCGATGTTTTTGGTAAAATTTTTGCCATTTTGCAATACTGCAGTTATTTTAGAGCGCGCTTCCTTTCTCTTGCTATTCCTGTGCCGCATTTTGCTTTTGATTGTCTGTATTTTGCCGCTTAGATTCGGAATTACACGGAATGCACCTGCGTCCAGAGCCGCCAAGTGATCACCCCGCCCACCGTGGGCCAGCGCGGCCAGCTCCGCGTGGTCATAGTCAAAACGTATCTCAACGAGAACGGCTATGCCGTGTCGGGGAAGTGCAAGCGGACGTGCAACACGCTCATCCCCTTCTTAGTGTTCTTGTTCATTGTCACCTTCATCACGGCGTGTGCCCAGCCGTCAGCCATCATAGTCACGCTCAGGTGAGAGCCGCGTCACTTCTGGGGGTGATGTTGGGACCTTGCTGTTCCTGAGGTCTCTGCCCTACGAGGTTGGACTTCAGGAGCTGGAAACCCTCTGTGTGAGCTGTGAGAAGCCAGACCCCGGCGGAGGGCAGGAAGTAATTTGGCAAAGTTGCTAAATCACGCGCACTGCAGAAGCTGTTATCTCCTACCTCGCCGAGAGTTAGTACCGTCCCTTCAGGATCCCGTGATCATTTGTGCTGGGCCTGCATTTCACAATGCTGAGTTCATTCATTTTACGCTCGTCTGAAATTTTGGAGTTGGATCAAGGAAAGGTAGATGGGATAATGTGATTTATTTATTTATTTTTTTTACGTAGGCTGTGCTTTCCTTGCTGTATTATATTATCCCGTTTGGGTTTTTCAATTTATGGGAGAACGTGGCAGCTACTTTTGTTCAGCTGAAAATGTTGATGCCGCCACATTCAGATCACCGTGCTGGTGTTTGCCGTGAAGGTTTCGGGGGCAGAGGCAGGAGCAGGCGGTGGTGAAACACAGGGTTATACACTGCGGCCTTTGGGGGCGAGGTTCATGCAGTGAGGGTGCGGGGAAGGGAGTCGGCCTTTACTTCTCCAGCTCCTCGGACCCTCACAGCTGTGCGCCCCTGGCAGGAGTCACTGCTTAGTGAGCGTGGGTGGTGGCACCAGGTCGTCCTGGCTGCTGTCCTACTGGGTGCTGAGGCGGACATTTCCCAGCAAAGCTGCTCCTTGGCAGTACCATGAAGCACAGGAAGAGTATGCTGGTTTGTTTGCTACATTTGTCCGTCTGCAGCTATTTATGGATTGACAACGATGTGCAGAGCCAGGCAAATTGCTATGAAACATAAAGGGTTTGGGGACAAGACAACAAGGGTGCTGGTCCTCGGAAATGTTTTCCATTGTATATGTAGAACCCTAGGATAAGGCATGTCATTATTTTGTTCGTCTTGCATGGTGTGTCATTATGTTGCCCAGGCTGGCCTCAAATCCTGGGCTCCAGGATCCTCCCCCCAGCCTGCTGAGTAGCTGGAACTAGGGGTACACATCACTGTGCCCCGATCACCACTTAAAAAGCTGTGTGAGCCATTAATAATTTTACTCCTTTAATAATCTAATGCTTTGCACTTTGGTTTTACAAGAGATGCTAACTAATCCACCAAAGGGCCACCCATTTTACAGTGTTCAAACATGGCAGTTGACCAGTTGGCTTCTAACTCCCACCCTCAGAAAAGGAGCCCTGCAATCTCTGCTAAGTGCAAAGTCAGTAGGCTGCAGTCTTCCTGCCACCTGGGAATTACTTTAGAAAAGGAAAAATGTGGTTTGAAGGAGTTCATTCTTTCTCTGACTTTTTTTGGGTGAGGGATACCGAATCGAACTCAGGACCTTGCACTTGCCAGGCAGGTGCTGTGCCACTGAGCTGTATCCCTGGCTCTTTCACTGACTTTTGACTTGTTTTTTTAATATAGTTTTTGCTACATTCTTCATGTTTGTTTTTACTCTTCCTATAGTGGGGGAACTGCGGGGGTGATTTCCAGGGACACACCTAGCATTCTGGAAAGTGCCGGCAAAAAGAGAAAGAGGATGCAGTTTTTAAGATAAAACGTTGTGAATTATTTAAAAAAAAAATAGCTCCCAATTAGAGCTATTTCTAAGCCTTTGACCTTCCACTGGTGTTTACGTGGAAGCAATTAGAATTAACTGAATTGTTTTGGTGTCTTCACTGAGGAGATCTCCGTTTTGTTATTTAGCCATCCCCAACTTTGCTTGGCTCGTGTGAGTAACTTCTAGTGAATTAAGCATTATGGCTCAGCGTCCCTGTAAGTCACAGACTGCCTGAAGCAGGCCTGATTTGGCATTTGTTTTCTTGGGGCTGCTATGTAGTAAAAACCTGTTTTTCTTTCCCCACATTGTAGGTCTGTGGAAGACGAAGAGAGACCTTTTGCGCTGGGGATGCAGTTTGTCTTGCTGCGAACACTTGGTAGGTCCCTGAATTTCCAAGTGTTCCTCTTGGTTCTTCCTCTTCACAGCAGCAAATGCTTATTGTCCTTTAGAAAATGCCAGTCAAGTCATTTGTTCCCGTTCACAGCTAGGAATTTACAGGTTTAGGGTGAGGGCACACTTCCTTCTTTTCAGGTTTGAGGTAAAAGCAGACAAGTTACTTCGATGAAACTGAAAAACAAAACTGACTTTGGGTTAGTTTCGTTTTACTGAGAACATAAACTTGGGCAACATTCTCTAGGGAGTTTTATGCAGTAAGAAACATGAAGTCAAGAAATTCAGAGTGGGTTTGTTGTCCTGGCATTTTGGTTACTTTATGGCTTAACATGAAAGTGAGAATCATGGACTCTGATTTTATTTGTGAAAATTTCAGTTTCTTACTTCGTGATAGTAATTTTATTGGACTGAGTGAAAAGCACACCTATCAAGTTTTCTAAGGAAAATGAAATTCTGAAAAGAAAAAAGTGACATGCAGAACTACGCTGCAGGTTTTGCTCAGCAACAAGAAAAGTACATTAGTGTTAATGTCACCGTGAGTGGAGTGCGGGAAGAATAATTTGTTCAAACTTGTGTCACCCGTGAAGGCTTGGGACAATGCACGGGAAGAGCATGTGAAGTGGTCTATCACCTGGATCAATTTCAGTGTATTATTGTTAATTGACTTTTTCATCAACAAGCTTATTTTTTCTTTCTTAAGTGGCAGCTTGTCATTTTTTCAGCTGCTATTTTCTCCCCAGTAATCAGTACTATTGTTAATAGGACCAAAACCGGTTTTCTGGTTCAAATTTGAGGTTGTGAAGGGTGAAACACTTTTAAACGGCACTGTCCTGCCCTTTGAGGTATTGTTCTCTGGAGTTCGCAGTTTGTCATACTTGTGGTTGATGGCTCAGCTCAAGAAAGCATTTTCCAGGGGCTGGGGATTTAGCTCAGCGGCACAGCGCCTGCCTGGCAAGTGCAAGGT